GTTAGCCATTTTCATTGTTGCTCTCTTCACAGTTACTAGGTAATGGACACAACTAAATGTCCTTCAATTGATGAATTGATCAGGAAAAAGTGGCCCCTATGTTTTATGAAATATTCTTCAATGTAGAGGAAAATTGCATCATAAACTTTGCAGGTAGATGGATGGAACTAGAAAAGATTATTTTGAATGAGTTGACTGAGACCCCAAAAGACAAATTCCACATGTTCTGCTACTGAACTTGTAACTCCGATGGGAATTATATAGGCTCCGAACTCCAAATCTTCAGATGAAAAAATATTAACTTGGAGAAACAACAGAAGCCAGAAAGGTACAAAAGGGAACATGGGGAGAAGCACTAGAGAAAGAAATAGGAGGACAAGCAGAATTTAATGGGAGAAACAGGAAAAATGAGGGCGGGGTATTTGGAAGGGGAAGGGAGGTCAACACAGAAGGAGAGAGAGCAAGGAGGGTGAAATAACAGTAAAAATGTCTAAAATAGTTATTAGAAAACATATTAGTATCCATTTACCAAAAGTACATAAAATACACATAAATATAAAATCTGTGCATACATACACACACAAACAATTTACATTAACTGTTTTCATCTGGACTGACAATTCTTCCCCCAAGAGTCATAGATATTTCTAAAAAGAACCTCAATACCAGTCACATGAATCCCTCATTCAAGTTGTTTGTCCCAGAATTTCAAGAGACTCCTAAAACGTTATAGACTATTATATTCTTGACCTTGGTTTCATCCCAGAAGCTGCCAGTGAGTCCCTGTTGTTGATGATACCATGCATTTGAAACACAAGATCCAGAGGATCCCAGCTTGATCAGACTTGAAGTCCTTCTCCTGATGACTAACTTTCGTAGTGCCAGAGGTTGACACGCAAGCTTCCAAAAGTTAGAAGCAATCAATTACTCTACCCAGCTCTGATGCCATAAACTACAAGGACCAATATTGCATGAAAACCTATAGATGCAATAGCGGCCCTCATAAATAGGTGGCAATCAGCCGCTCTCTAATTGGACATAAGAAATAACGAGAAATACTATGCCTGGTACTGGAAACCTAGCCAACTACCCAGGACAACGGACAACTGCTAATTTACTACACCAGCATAATCCCTAACTACATTCTAAATATCTATCACTGTACCCAAAGTTAAGTGTAGTCCTCAGCCCTTATCAAATAATCTCTTCTTTACAAAAGACACAGACCTGCTACAGAAAACCATAACCAATCACAGAGGAGTCAGCTCTGAGGCCATGAAAGGGGCATAGCTGGTACTGGCTCTGCTCCCTTGTATGTGGTGCGGTGGTTGGAGTGAGAGAAAGATGCCAAACCTTGCCCCTCCCACTTGTAGCTGATGAGAGAGCTGACTGACCCTCCTCTTTATGAGCTACAACACTTGAGAAAGCAGGCCCTGCACCTTCTTTGAACAGCACAGCAGAGCTGATCCTGTTGATGGAGGTACAGGTGAGCAGCCCCAAGAATGCAAGCATGGGAGATCTGCATCCTGCCCATCACCTGCCATATCGTGGTGCAGGTGAGGGAGAGACACCCCCACTCCAGCCTCCACCCCTTGCTGTCTATGGCGGTGGGAGAGCTGGCCCTAAGATAATAAGAGTGGGAGAGCTGTCCCTGCCCCTCACCAGCTGCAGCACTCACCAGTACAGGGCAAAAACAGGATATCCAAGAGGAGTCCAAGTGAGGACCCAACATCGATCGAGTAGCAGAAACAGAGACCTCAAACTAGAGCAAAGATCTTTACAATGAATACATATACATAAAAATATATGGATAAAAGGGTTACTGCATGATTCACTATGTCACACTACAGCTTCTGTGATGAGAGTTTTTTCCTTTTTTTCTTCTCTCCTCTTAAGTTTTGTTTTATGTTATTTTGGGGGCAGGTTGCCAGGGCAGAGGATGGATACAAGGAAACAGGAAATGAAGGGGATCAAGATGCATGATGTGAAAGACACAAAGAACAAATAAAAAGAAAACAAAAAAGAAAGATAGAATCAGAAAGAGCACAAAGAAATGTCGTAATGATACAAGTCATGATTTGGAAATTAACCAATTCAGTAGACAAGAAATATTAAAAATTAGAGCAGAAATTAATAAAATAGAAATAAAGAAAATAAGGAGGGGACCTTTAACTGGTGTTGCTTGGAGGAGAGCAATAGAGAGAGAGAAGGGAAGAAGAAGGAATAAATAACACCAGGTATTTTTTAAAAGCCATAGGGGAGCCAGGTGTAGTGGCACACTCTTTTAATCTCAGCACTTGGAAGGTAGAGGTGTGTGGATCTCTCTGAGTTTGAGGCCAGCATGGTATACAAAGTGAGTTCTAGGACATCCAGAGCTACACAGTGAGACTTTGTTTCAAAATAAATGAATAAATAAATAGCCATAGGTGATCATATTTTGCGTTCTGCTGTGGAATAATGCTTTTGTATACTGGTTTAATAAATGCTGATTGGCCAGTAGCCAGGCAGGAAGTGTAGGTGGGATAAGCATACAAGGAGAACTCTGAAAGAGGAAGGCTGAGTCAGGAGATGCCAGCCTGCTGTCCAGGGAGCAGCATATAAAGGCACACAGGTAATGTCATGGAACATATGGCAACATATAGATTTACAGAAATGGTCTGACTTTAAGTGTAAGAGCTAGTCAGTAGTTAGCCTGACCTAATGGCAAAGTAGTATTAATTAATATAAGCCTCTGTGTATTTACTTGGGTCTGAGTGGCTGTGGACCAGGCAGGGCACAGGAAAACTTCTAGCTACAATGTTCATTTAAAATAATGTATAGTATATGTAAATATGTTACACATCACACACACACACACACACACATGCACACACACATTAAGTGTGCTACTTGAGGTGGTAATGCACTCTCAAGAGCCTATCTAACAAAAAACCAGTGCCATGGATGAAAATTCTCTTTTCAAGTTGTTGCTTAGGGGAGTCCAAGAGTTCCCCCAAACAGTATATGGTATTACAGTTGCCTATAGCTGCTTCTCAGAATTTGAAGCTAAGTCCTTATTGTTAAAGACAGTGGAAGGTACCCTGTAAGCTGCCAAGGACCAAAAGCAATTAATAGTGATACCCTTCTGTAAAGCTTTTGACCAGCACAAAAAGATATTCCCAAAGATGCTGTAGTGGCAGTCACAGCTTGATGGTAATGAACAGCCATCTAATTGTACTCAAGCCCCACTCATTAAGAGGGAATTTTTGTCTGGCACTGTAAACCCAGAAAACTGGGATTGGTGAGGTCATGGAACCTAGAGGAAAGCCTACTACTGCTGCTTTCCTCAATCTATATAATGTCTAACTACATTCTAAATACTTAACTTTATGCCCACAGATAAGCACAGTGTTCACATCAGAGAATCTTCTTTTTGCAGCAGGTAGAGGATATTACAAAGATCCCCAACAGGTCAAAATTCAGAGAAAACTGAACATAGTTTGCCCAAACAGAGCTGATGCACCTACAACACAACTTCTACACCTAAGTCTCAGGGATAAGGGAGGATAGAGGGGAAAGAAAACTTGTTAAAGCCAGAAGATCAGAACAACCATTATGGGACTGTGTCCTCTGTATTTGAGAAAGAAGATGCACCCACTAGCAAGTCATGGAGAACAAGCCTGTAAGCAGCACCGTTCCAAGGCCTTTGTATCAGCTCCTGCCTCCATGATCCCACTCTGTTTGAATCCTGTCCTGACTTCCCTCAATGATGGACTGTTATGTGGAACTGTAAGCTGAAATAAACCCTTTACTCTCCAAGTTGCCTTTGTCCATGGTGTTTCAGCATAGCAATAGATACCCTGACTAAGATAAATGGTCATTTTGTCAAAGGAACAAGAGATTACATATAGATATATAAATGATAGTAACAGCAGAACCATAAGTGTGTCTAACATTAACTGTTAACCATAAGGCATTTCAGGAAATAAACATTTGAGCTTGTTTTTACATATGTCTCTCCTGAAGAAAAATATGATCTGACTGTTTTCCACTTAGTGAACACCAGCAGCAGCACTGTCACTACTAATGATCCAAACAAAGGATCTGAAGTGCTTAGTACTCCTCTCACAGTAATGATGGCATCACACAGGAAACATAAGTGTCCAAACCACACAGGTGTACAGTAGACCACCCTGGGAGACTATACAGAGAGGACCCTTCCATGGTACAGACATGGCTGAGTGACCATTCCTGCCAAGGACAGACATGCTGGACTCTCTCATGATTATTAATTCCGAAGTCCACTCTGGCCTTCTAGTCTGTACATGGAATGTTTGTAACAACCCCTCAACAAAAGGAAACCTTAATTGCTACATTAGAAACAAAAATTTTCTTTTAAAATGTCGTGGAAGTGGAAAAATTTGGGGAAATTGAGAGGGTTTGGGGGCACAAATGAATGAGAGCTCAATAGAAACGGGAGAGGCTGAGAAAACTCTTATTCTAGAGACACTTAAGTGACTTCAAGAACCAATTTATCTTTGCAAAAGGCAACATCACACTTCAAGTACCACCATTCAACTCAAAGTAAAGGTGATTACGATAGGAATAATAGAGTGCTGTGTAAAATACATCATAACAACATAAAAAATAGGTTTATGGTTGGCATTGGGAAATAGTCATGCCAGGGTACACGTGGAAGTCAAAACTGCTCTGTATGGTGCTAATTGTAGTGAAACTTTATGGGAAATTTTGCTTTATGTTTTAATGGTTGTCCTACACTGTGTACTCATAATCTTCTAATAGATGCATTAAGTACCTTTATTAAAAGATAAGAGCCTTTCCATCATGATGAATATTCTCTACAAGTGACACAGAGATGTATTTGGAGTGGGGCAATCTAGTTGGCACCCGACAGTCAAGTCTACATGTTGATAAATAATCAGTTATTCTCATTAAGAGATCCTTCAAGATGCTCTAGCACTTGTTGTATGTCCAGAAACAGATAAAATACAGAGAATTCCTCATCTCAACAATGGGAAATATGTCTGTCTCCAGCCCTGGTCTAGTTTTATGTACAGGCAGCGGATGCCTGGGGAGCACTGTGCACTTGCTGCACAGAAGTACGTGGCTGAGTCCTCAGGATGGGCAGCTGTGAAGTTCAGGGAGAGATGTTTGTCCTTCTTCTTCGGGAGGACAATGAGTCCTTGTTCTTCTTTTCTGTCCACACTTGAAGGAACATTTATAAGGAGCTGGAGACCTGCCTCAGGCTCCTGCCTGTACCAGTAGAAGTAATAATTAGTGTCTGTGTAGGTGCAGTTGATAACGGCGCTGTCTCCCTCCTGGACACTCAGGAGAGAAGGCTGCTGCTCCAGCTGCTCTCCTCTGCTCACACCTGTGCAAAAGGAAACAGCAGGAAGGCCGTCAGGCCACCGTTCCCCAGACTTTGCTTTTCTTCCCGTGGTAACTATGGGCAATCTGGAGGAACCAGTCCACCCCTCAGACTGATAATGAACATTGCCAAATGTCTTGTTTCCCTAAAACTCTCACTCACAGTTCAGCTGCAGCCACAAGTACAGGACAAAAGGTCCAGTCAGTGTCTTCATAGCTCTCCCTGGGGATTGTGGCCTTCAGTCAGGCAAGATGCTTCTGTGGTCAGCTTTCCTCCTCTGTCCTCCACAGCACTGCAGCTTCTTCAGTTGTCTGCACAGATGGCTGTTGACTGCAGAGGCTCTTTCAGAAGTCAACCAAAAAGTCCTTAAGTTTGGAGCAACAGAGATGCTCTGCCACCTGGTGGACAGTTCCTACCAGCTGCACCAGCAACTTCAATCCTCCATTATACTTTTTCATTTTATTCGTGTGTTTATTTTCTGCTTTTAGTCAATATTTGTTCTTAAGAAAATAGAATGCAGAGCTGATAACTGATTTAATATTGTCTACCTATAGCACACAGTTTCATAGGTTGGTATAATCTTAGAATAAATATTTCTGAGACAACCCCCAACAGCCTCACCCATCACAAAAGATATTTATTACTGAGTAGAATTAGAAAACATTGAATTGGTTCCTCCACTAACAGATTCCAGTGGTCTTCTGCCTCCCCAACTCCCAACACGTTCAGGAGACAACACCTAGTTTAGACATTAGACACCCTAATGTTTACAAATTGGACAGACTCTGGAGCCAGTGAAACCCTGGCCAATGAATAGGTTGTAAAACTGACAGGGATCAGAAACAAGCCTGGTACATAGAAAGGGGAATCACCTTAAGTGATTGCAGCACTCTTGAGCAACTGGCACTTGCCTCCCCGCAAAGAAAACAGAAACACTCCCACCACCACCCCCCCACACACAAGGATGCGCCCTGGTATTTAACACTTAGTGACTATAATAGCCACTCATCATTGGAACTTAGCTATGCTCAACTTTACATCAACACCCAATAATCAGGAAAAAAAAATTCAGAATTAAAAGGCACCATGGGTCATATGGCTTTACAAACATCTACACAACATTCCAATAAAGCTCCAGAGTATACATTCCTCTCAAAAGATATGGAACTTTCTCTCAAACAGATTATATTGTTGATCATAATTAAAGCCTTAACAAATACAAAAGAATTAAAATTATTTCTAAGCCGGGCGGTGGTGGCGCACGCCTTTAATCCCAGCACTCGGGAGGCAGAGCCAGGCGGATCTCTGTGATCCTATGAATGCTTCTATTGTGCCCCATGGAATTTGCTGTGTTTTCATTTTCATTCAATTTCAGGAATTTAAAATTTTCCTTTTTGATTTCTTTGTTGAATTCATTACCATTCAGTAGTAGCATATATAGTCTCCATGACCTTGTGTACTTTCTGTAATTCCCACTGCTGTGAACAGTTAGTTTTAATACATTGTGATAGATAGAATTTGTGATATTATTTCAATTGTCCTACATTTGTTGAGAATTGCTTTACGTCCTAATACATGGTCAATTTGTAAGACTTTGCATGGGCTACTGAGAAGTAAGTGTATTCTTTATTGCTTGGATTGAAAATTCTGTAAATGTTGTTATATCCCTTTGATTTATAATATCATTTAATTCCAATACTTCTCTGTGTAGTTTTTGCCTGGATGACCTAACTATTTTTAAGAGTATAGTGTTGAAGTCACCCCTTATCATTGTATTGGGGTTAATTTTTGGTTTTTAGTTTTTCAGAAATTCGGTGAGCTGTGTTTGGTGTATGTGTTTAGAACTATAATATCCTCTTTGCAGAATGTTTCTTTAGTTACTATGAATTGTTACCTCTTTATTTATTTTGAATTGCGTTGATTTGAAGTCTCTTTTCCCATATATTACAGTGCTTATGCCTGCTTTACCTTAGTTTTCTTTGAATACTTTTTATTCCATGTTTCTTTACCCTGTCTTTGATGTTAAGGTATGGTTCTTGGAAGCAGCAAAAAGATGCTACAATCTTCTAGCATATATTTTTATGTGTGGTATTGACTCTTGTATTTCATTCATCTGTTTGTTCTTGTTCTACTGAAGTATATTCATTCCTTCTTTGTGTTGTGTAAGCATACTTATCATCATTCTTTTGAATTCTTTGTCTGGAAATTTTTCTGTGTCATTTGTACGTACCATTGATATGGGATTAGTAATGTGGAGGAGATACATTGTTTTGTTTTGTTTTTTTAATCTTGTTTCTGTGTTAGGAATTGCACATGTGAAGTACATTGTTGGCTGAGATTTTTCTTTCTTTTTCCTGTTCCTTCCTTTGAATTGCTCCTCTCTCCCCCAACCCTGCTTTTTGTTCAAGCTGCATTTCTACTTTCAGTGGAAGCATGTATAATGTTCAGGAAAGGACTAAGAGATAATAATGTTGAGATACACAATATTGTCCATGGGCTGGTGCAGAACGTTCCATAGCAGTGCATGTATTTATTAAGAAGGAGTCAGGTAGCGTACTTGCTTCAAGAGGCTGTGTGGACTTGGTCCACAGAACAAAATTCCTAGGAGTTTTAGATGGGTCCAGTGCAGTAGGATGGCCAGGGTCTGGAGGAGAGTTTCTGAATGGCGTACACTGCCTTGCACAGAAGAAGACGTGTTCTTTATTTGCTGTAGGAGGCCAGTAGGATGCTTCTTGTGCACTAAGTTCCTGGATGGTGTAGGCATGTCTACCTTACTTGTAGGAGGCTGTGTGGGCTAGACTCCTGGAGCTAAATTCCTGGGAGCTTTGGTGGGCCTGGTTCATGAGGCCATGGACAATGCCTGAAGCCTAGTTCCCAGGGGGTAAAGGTGGTCTCAGCAGGAGAAGAGGGGTCCACTCTGCTATCCCAATGGAAGTATTTAAAAAAGCTATTCTGAACTGGAATCTAGTAGCATGAATATGAAGACCAACAATAAAAAACCAGTACTCCATCAGACTAAAAAGCTTCTGTACAGCAAGAACACCATCACTTGAATGAAAAGTCAGCCTAGAGAATGGGAAACATCTTTACCAGGCATACATGACAGAAAATAGGTGTATACAAAGAACTAAATACCAAGAAAAAACTGATTAAAAAATTGGAGATTTGAAATATGCAGAGAGTTTTCAAAAAAGAAATACAAATATGAGGAAATTTATTTTTTTTTGGTTTTTTGAGACAGGGTTTCTCTGTGTATCTTTGGATCTTGTCCTGGAACTCATTCTGTAGTCCAGGCTGGCCTCAAACTCAGAAAGATCCACCACCTGCCTCTGCTTCCTGAGTGCTGGGATTAAAGACATGCACCACCATGGCCCAGTGAGAAAATTTTTAAATGGTCAACATCTTTATCCATCAGGGAAAATTAAAATTAAATAGTTATGCATATATACAATGAAAATTAATATTATTTTAAGAGTTCATTTTATTCCAGTCAGAATGGCTGGAGAAAATGACAACAAACGATGGTATGGGTGTGGAGACAGGGGGATAGTTGCTCACTGTTGGTGATAGTATAAACCAGTGTAGCCACTATGGTTCTACTCTATTAGGTTTCTATAGGGTCCCTCAAATGGCCCTTAATTTTAAATATCCCGCCCTATATTTCTTCACCTGCCCCTCCATTCCCTCTCCCTCCTCATCTGACCCTCCTGTCCCAGACTCCTTCCTCATCCATCTATAACAATCTATTCTATCCCCCCTTCATGGAGATCTGTCCCTCCCCCAGTCCCTTACTCAATACCTAACGTGTGGTTATACAGATTGTAGCTTACTTATTCTTTGACTCAACAGCTAACATCTATATAAATGAAAACCTACCATATTTATCTTTCTGGATCTGGGTTGTGTCACTTAGTATGACCTTTTCTAGCTCTCTCCATTTACCTGTGAATTTCCTGATTTCTTTCTGGTACTGAATCCAACTGATACATCTGCAATGCAACCCCTACACCTAAGACTAAAGAGAATCACAGAAGATGTGGTAGAAAGATTGTAAGATCCAGAGGACAAGATACCTGTGTCTAACACAGTTTCCCATAGGCATTCTAAGGGAAATGGCCCCATGAATACATAAATAGGGGTTTCCTGAACAGAGCCAATGTTATGATAACACCAGTTGGCATGGCAACATGGATGGGGAAAGTCCACACGGTTCTACTCCTAAATGAAGACCTACAGGTTGTCAAAGCTGATGAGAGAAGTAGAATAGCTTAATAGTTTCCCCCAGAGACAAGCTTTCACTGTGGTTTACCAATCCTGCTATGTTATATCTGAACACATGTACATATGAACAAAACAAATAGACTCAGTAGGCTACATATACCTCAGATTGATCCAATTTCTCTTTCTGTAAATAACTTTATTTACTTTTTTGGCACAGGCTACTAAGCATTGGCAGCCTTCATTACATTTATCCATCATAAAGAAATTTGCAGTAGATATTACCAACAATTACATCAGGAATGAGGAAATCAAGCATGAGAATTATAAAGCAGTCTCCCAAATTCCCCTCAACTAAAATATTATAAAGCAATCTTCCAAAATCCCCTCAACAAATAAGTGGCAGGTCCAGAACTTCAAACCAAATCTTTGTTTCTAGAATATCACTATGCCATTTAAGGAGGGAAGCTTCAAGAACTTTGGCATGTCCAGTAAGCACTAACAGGAACACACATGGAAATCACACAGCACAGTAGCTCCAGTACCTCAGACACTTGCTGGGTCTGCTCACCGTGTCCTCCACTGAAGACTAGCAGGCACTCACTGAGGTTGCAGTGTCTGCCCACAAGACAAAGCCCATGGGGAGTCTTCTGAGATCTACTTGGCAGTGCAGCCTAAGGGCAGCTTTCCCAGCTTCTCCCAGGTGTCTGTGCTCCATCACATGTCTTAGGGCCCATCGGAAAACCTTGTATTTCCTTGGAAGTGTGGAGTCAGAGTGGAACATAAGAAGGGCTCACTGTGCCATGTTTCCTATGGTGGCTTCTTCTCCATCACTGACTTGTTCTTACCTCCCGGGACATATCTGGAGTACCAAAAGGGGCAGCATATGAACACAATTACACTTAGCAAAGAAAAACACCATACTTTGGGAAACAAGGCTGAGGCCCATATCTTAAGCAATTTTCTGCTCTCCAGCTCAGAACACTCAGGAATCAT